TCTTAACATTACACAGTATTATTGAAAAGTATCCCAGTACTAATCAAGTAGAAATTTATTTACGTTCATGATCCAAATCATACTGTCAACTCATATAATCGATATTTTTCTTCGGAGTATCCCTCATGTACCCGAATGTATTATTTAATTTGTCTTAACATTTTGAAAAAGGCTAGGATACTACTGTATGCAAAGCAGTATGGTAATTGTTAGGTGAAACCAATTTATGTAAATGGCAAAAGACAGCAGCAATGGATAGAAAAAAATGAAACCCCTAGTGAAATCCCGGCAATACAGCAGAGGTGGAACTCTTTTAACTTCCTAATCTTGACACAAAAAGATAAGTTTGGCAAAAATCACACGCATCAATTGCATGATTACAGGATTAGTAATGATTGATTATCAGAATTTACTACGTACCACCAAAGCTATGACCATCGACACAACATAATATTTAAGTTAGTGTCAGGTGAGGCACGTGATGATGTGTTGGTAACAATTCCTAAAACTTATATTATAACAATTAGTCACGATGACTTCATGAGAAAGTTTTTATGGTGTAAAAACTTAGTGCATATTTGTATGTAACACAAACCTTACTTAAAAAGTTATTGATATTCTTTATATAATATAATACAGCGCATCAGTTAATTCTCACCCTACTACTACGTACTGTACATAGAATCTTTAGCTAGCTCTTATTACGTATTAACATTCTTGTTTCTTCGAATTTTATGAAAATATGGTAGTATCTAAGATGTCTTATATGTTTATCCTTTTCTTATATGAAATGATCATTTTATGACTATTTAAATTATTGTTTTTATTAATAGAATATAATACGTAAATTATATTTATCATTATTATATTGTTAGCACATAACAGATAATCGACCAAAGAAAACAATTTTGGCCGTTGGTGAAACTGGTACAGGAAAAAGTACCTTCGGTTTAAAAGTTTTCGATGTTGACACCGTTCCTGGCTCCGGTATATCTTCTGTTACAAGAATATCAGAAATTTTCGAAAATTTATTATTTAGATACATTGATACTCCTGGTTTTTCCGATACTGAAGGAATGGATGATGATGAAGTTTTTAGTGATATGCTTTCTTTAATGCAAGAAAATTCTATTAATAACAAATTTAAAATTGATGTCATTTTATGGTTTTGCTTTGAAAGTCGTCGATGTAATCAACAACTTCAACGTGGTGCTAAATTTATTCAAAAACTTTCCGATTATTCTAATCTTTTAAATAAAGATTTAAACATTTGGAAAAATGTGTTGATTATTATTCAAGGTTCAGCTTTAGATGAAGCTACTGTTGAAGGTCCTCAAGCAGCTGCTCGTCTTGCATGGGAATCTTGTGCTAAAGAAAAAAATATTTTATTTAATGATGAATTTAAAGTTCGTTATTTCCCTTGTTTCGTTTATGATTTTCAAGATGATCCTTCTCCTTATTATAAGAATATGTCTTCAACTCAACGTCAAGTTTTAAATGTTTATTCTAATTCTGAAATTATATACAAGTTACAACAAATTGTTAATGAAATTTCAACAACTTTTAATGGTTTTAATATTTGTTTTGTTAGAGCTCAATGCTCTCGATGTGATCAAAAAGATGATCCTCGACTTTTTAAAAATAGTTGTCATTTTGAATTAAGACACAAAATTTCTACAAAACTTGTTCACACTAATGCAATAGAAGGATATCATATTGGACCAATTATTTGTGTTCATTCTGATAAATTTCATCAAGATCAAACAAAAGTTAATGTTTCTATGGCTACAGGTGGTGCTATAGGTGGTGCTATAGGTGGGGCTGTAGGTAGTATTCTGGCTTTTTCTGGTCAAAAAAATGCTGCTTCTAGTGGTGTTATTGGATCAATGACCGGAATTGTTGGTGCCACTGCTGGAAAAATTGTAGGAGAGTTGATTACCGCTTATGAATGTTCTGAATGTGGTTATAATTGGACAAAACCTGGTTGTATTAGGAAATGTGGTAATTGTGATAAATTGTGGGATAGTTCTACTAATAATTGTGGAAAAAGATATTCATGTTGTAAAAAATCCGAAGATGATCCTGGATGCACTTTGATATCTTATTGTGAATCTGATAATTGTAATACAAATTTACCTGGTTGTATTTGTATTTCGTGTAATCGTTCTAGAGGTACTAGTGGATGTCATAAAGGACATCAACATGATATTATCTACTTTTCTGACTAATACTTTTTTTAAATTATAGAATTGATAATTATAGTTTAAGATTTTATTACAGGAATTTAGTGATTATGGCGAGTTAGAAATGAAATCAGATCAAAATGAAATTTTAATTAGAAATTTATGTCATCGTAAAAAAATTTTTGATGCGTTTTTTTTAGGCCTTTCTTAGGCTTTTAATTAAGATTAAGTGTAAAAGTTTTAATAAGCAAGTTTTAATAAGCGAGTTTTAATAAGTGAGTTTTAATAAGCGAGTTTTAGAGATTTGAAAGAAACCAAAATTTCATTTTGATCTGTGTTCATTATGATTTCCGACAGTGGTTAGCATTCTCTTGTTGTATATAGATAAATGTTATCTAAATTTTACCTGTGAAAATATCTAGATTAAACATTATTTTGTCTATTGACTTATATAAAATTGATTTTAAATCCATAAAACAAAATAACGGGCACAAAGTTTTAAAATTATTATTTGGTGTAATTTGACAAATCCAAAAGTTTTGTTTGTACTTTTTCTTGAATGAATAGTCAATATTTATAATTAAAAATCTTAAATAATTTTATAAATTTGATGAAAATCGAGTTTCTTAAATACCAAATCAACGCGGATAAGAACTTATACAAGACTTGAATGGCCTATCATAAATGATAATCATCACCATGTTCGTGAAATGGTTTAATTCAAATAACAAATCAAATCTCTTAAATTCTTTTAATACTTTAGTTGACTGCTAGTGAGATGATTGCCTTAACCTTTACCTACAATATATTTTTTCATTCTTCGTTTAATTGTGTTTTCATTGCATGCAATCCCATTTGAAGCGGGTTTAAGAAAAATGTCACAGACTGCATAGTGTGCACTTGTAAGGTTAGGAACTGATACTTCATTGAATGCACACCGCGCAATTACAGTAATCCAGTAAATTCCATCATCATTACATTGGAAAATTGAATTAAAACACTCGGTTACTACAATATCGGTGATACTACAATATCGGTTGTAGAAAATTTACTTTTTAGTGATGGCAATTTTTCCGCACCGAATACACGAAATGTTGCCTTTCCAATAAATGATCGTTACAGACTAATTTAGTGGGAATAAAAGGGAATTAATAAGAAGTGACTTATTAAATATTTCGATAGATCAATAATAATTACGTTTACATGGTGAATCAATTAGAATAGTTAATGAGGTTAACTTGATTAACTTCAGTTAACCGACTGGCTTAATTAACCCGATTAATACGGTTTGCACAGCTTACTCGGTTAATCGGTTATTCAGCAATAAACACTTTTTGTTATTTGATTTAAATCACTACGGGATTCAGCCTCTATCATTGTCGTTATCAGGGCGTTATCGTTATCAGGAATGTATCAATAGAGAACTCATCTAACTTTGCAATTGTGTGACTTTTTTACTCATATGATCAATGTTGTACTATAACCTTGACGTAACACAGCTTATAACACGTAACACTACATATAAAATACGTAACATTTTCGGAGATTTGATTATTTTAAAAATTTTTTTTATTTTTTTTCCTAATTAAAATTATATCATTACCAAATGAATGCCTTATTGAAACGTTCTTTATCTTAGTAAACATGGTTTATTTTCAAGCCTTATTGTAAACCGTAATTGGAGCAGAAATGTTGTGCCAATATAATGGAGCAGTGTATCTGATTTCTACAATAGAAAACTGATAAGATCATGCCTTTTAGCTTTAAAGAGCATTGTTAAAAACAATTTAAAATAAATCTCCCAAATGATCCTAAATGGTTGTTTGAGTATACGTCCTATGTTAAATGTCTTGACCTTTTTGGCTTAGTCATGAAGGATATGAATTCCGTAATGTATTTTTTACTAAAAATGGTATTATAGTTCGGGCAATTGAATATTCTTTAATTTCAATGTTTTTACAAACAAATATCAGTCTACGAGAATTAAAGAATTGTCAAATTATTGACAGTAAAGTAATAACAGTTACTCTTTCTAATTTAGTGACTTTATCTCATTTTAAGAATTTGGAAAAGCAATCTCAACTTAGAAAGATGTAAAATATTAGCGGAAGCTCTTTATAAGAACAAAACTCTGATCCATTTGGTTATTGGTTATAGTCAATTTGACTTTGAGGGAGAAAAGGTATTGGCAGAAGTTTTTCGTCAAAATACTACTTTAATCCGTTTAGAACTTTACCACATTTATTTTGGTTCTGTAAGAGGAAATAAACTTGGATTCGAAGAAGTGGATATATTAGCGGATTCTTTGTGTAAAAATATTACTTTACCACCTTGTATCTTCGTTATAGTAAGATTGGTATTAATGGAGTAAAATCATTAACTAAGGCTCTTTGTAAAAATACTACCTTGGTTTCTCTAGACCTTTTAGGTAATTGCATTGATTCTAATGGAGGAAAAATATTAGCAGAAGCTCTTTGCAAAAACACTACTTTAATCTCTTTGGGGCTTGATCATAGTACAATTGATGCTGAAATTATTAATAGAATCAATCTTTTGCTTGAAAGGAAAAAACCTTTGCTCATTGAAATATTTATAAAGCTCAATCATTAAAAAAGTTTCGTTTATCTTTTAGCTAATAAACATTGTAATTAAAAAGCTTTTGATGACAGTAATATATGTATATAATGAAATGACATTAGTTCATTTTTTGATTTATAAAAATTAATATACGAGAATAATTTATTATTTATATTGATAACATAAAAATTTAAACCACAAAAAATAAATTTATATTACAGAAATAATAATCCGAGTAAATTATTTTCTTAATTTTAATCTAAATAATAACTCTTCACAAGTTGTAATGAAAGTAGATTTGGTTTTAAGTGGCGCATTCATATCAATTAATTCAACATCATACTTTCTATAAATCATAGTTACTAAACATTTCAATTCAATCATTGCTAATTTTCTTCCTGGACACATACGTAATCCACCTCCAAACATCACGAATGAATTTTTTATATCATCTCCATTCTCTGATTTTTCTCCTATATTTTGATCTTTACCTAAATCCTCATGACCATTGTCACTGTTAACTTTATCATTAGTCATATAATTATAAAATCTATCAGGGTTTAATTTCAGTGGTTCATTCCATGCATCAGGGCGTTTAGACATGCCACCATAAAATAACAGAAATACAGTATTAGCAGGCCAAATATATCCACAGATTTCATCTTCTTCCGAGTTTAAACGAATATTTGAGGAAATCACAGGTTGTAGTCGAGCCACCTCTTTAATTATCGATTCGCAATATTTAAGGTTATCTAAATCTTTAAGTGTGATTGTTCGTGTTATATCATCATGGAATATTGAGTCAAGTTCTTGACGGAGGCGGGTTAGAACATGTGGGTGATGTGCTAGGTAGTAAACAATAAAGCAGAATAAATTTGCAGTCTATTAAAGTAAATTAATGAAGACATTTTAGATTAAAGAGTTTATATATTCAATATTATAATGAAGATAAAAAAAAAAAAAGAATTTACAGTATCGGTCCCTCCAATAAATGCATCAATTAAATTTCCACAAATCTCTTCATTCTTCATAGGTCTCATAACTACATCTTTATACTTTTCTATGTATTTCTCTTTATGCGTATCTCTATCAGTATTTGCAATAATAAAAGAAGTCAATATATCATTCCTTAATGCTTCGTTTATTGGTGTGTCATTAATCTCTCGTCGACGTCTTTCAATTATTTCGGTTAATTTTCCATATAAATATTCTTTATTATCTAAATATCTACGAACAATTCCTCGTATATATGGAACATAATTACGAACATATTTTGAATATAAACGAAAATACATAATTCCTTCAGCATAGGTTTGAGTACTAGTTATAATACTATTTGATTCAGTTTCTTGATTATTAACACCAAATAGGTTGTTAGTATATGAGTTAAGTGCATCTCCCTTAATACCGATTGCTATTCTATATATCATATCATATGTAAATCTACGCATCCAATTTGGAAGATTTATCACTTCATCATTCTCTATTAAAGATTTGTTCACATCTTTCTCTCCCATTATAATACCAATTCTACGCCAACATGATTCCATTTCTTTGACCAATTCTATAGTCCATTTTAATGCATCCCTATCTAACTTTGGACGCATTAATGCATTGCTAAAAACCATTCTATTAAACTTCCAAGAACCATGGATATCATTATTATTAAAAACTCCACTATCAACTAAACCATATTCTTTACCTTCAGAACGAAAGAACCTTTTTATATATTTACTTTTAGTAGATGTTTGATGTATTTTAACCATATATTTTGGATGACATAAAACAATTGCACGTTCACTACCAAACCATATTTCAAATATATCGCCATATTTTGAGTGAAGTAATTTAAGTACTTCATCCATTCCTAAAGGACGGCCATTTAAGTTAAAAATATGGTAATAAGAACCTATAAGTGGTAATGGAAAAGGGCCTGGTAACTTATTTGGACGAGTATAATAAATATAGTAAAAACGAAGAATATAAAATACGAATAGGAAGAAGATAATGATATAGATGCCTGAAAGCGTGATAGAATTTACCAAAGTCAAAATAGTTAATGCTAAAAACAACATGATTTATATTATTATACGAATTGGTTTTGAAATTTTCGATCACACGCAGGATTTATATAACATTCCAAGACCCATCCGAGTTATCACTAAATTTTTTTATGTACATACGTAAATAACCTGATTTTATTCCGGAATTACTAATTGCATTTCCATATACTACTATATTTGGATTAGAATTTGAGACTATACATTTAAGAAGACTCTACCGTAGACTTGTTGTACATAGATAAAGTATTACGTCATTATTGTTGTGAGAATCTTATCACTGTGTAACCATGACTCATTCTGAATTAAACGAAATTTCATAAAATAATTCGTTAAATATTCTTTAGTAATTAATTAATTAATTAAAGTATAATTCTGCTTACTCAAAATTGCAATTATTCAAATTAATTATCTTGGCAAGTTGAATTGCATGATCTAGATTGAATCGAGTTGATTCAGATTATGTCAACTCAGGTTGAGTCGAGTTGACTCAGCTTATGTCAACTTAGGATGAGTCAAGTTGATTAGTTTATGTCAACCCCCTTAATGCGATTCTGATTGTTAATGATCAAGCTGTTGCTCAATCATAGGGATGTTATCTGGTCTGATCTTGAACCAATAGACCGCAATCCGTCATTAGATTGGTCTTAGTTGTGCCAAAAAGGGAAATTTAATTTTATAAACAAAGAAGTATGTAAAAACAAATCTAGGATTAGGACGTTAACATTAGAAACTATAGCCAAAACTGTTGCCCATTAGGCCATACATTTTTTTGAAAAATTTTTTTTTTACTGTTATCATAATTCCTGGAACACCTCACAAAATTAGCCGAATAATTTTTCGGCCGATTCGATTAAATTAGTGATTTAGGCATCATTGATATAAATTGTCATACGTTAGAATGGAATTATTGTAGATTTAGAATGCACCTAGGTTGATTCCAAATAAACATAGGTCATAATAGAATTCTATAATATACCGAGTCGTTAAAGAATTCCAATTCAACTTACAATAAAATTAATTGTATTTCAAATTTTTTCATTTAATACTTTGTTTTGGAATATAAGTTGCTTTAAAATAGGGTCTATTCATTAGTTAATTTTAAAAGCATTACAAGTTTTTACATTTATGATTAGTGGTTTATTTACAATGATTTTTGTCATACGCGTTTTTGCATGTGCACTTAATATTATCTACTTGTGAGGAAGATTTTCTTGAACTCTTATGTGCGTTGAAGAAAAAACAAGTTTGTGATAGAAAATTATTATGTCTTCTCATTATTGCACTTTTTATACTGATTTACTGTGAAATTTCCGGAGTTCGTTATAGGAAGGTTCAATAACAATTGTACTATCTAACTATGGAAACTTATTAGTAATTCCAATAGTGCCGATTTGTATCCAAGCTATATGTGTCATTTTCTAAAACTTCGAGGATCTTACAGGGAGTGTCCTTCAACTGTTGTGCTTGTATTTGTTGTATCTTGTAAAACCTTAATACGAAAATCGGAGTCTTCACGTGTTATAAAGGTTTAACATCGACTATTAGCCGATTTGCTGATAAGATATTTGGAAAGCAATTCTTTGAATAACCTTAAGATTCGGTTATCGGATAATTTTTGCAAAGAACAAAAAAAAATTTGTATTCAATTTTGGCAATCAATTGCAAATTCATTGTAGTATCGAATTTAAAATCAACTTGATATTAAATTTGTTGATTATCAAATTTAGAATCAACTTAGATTGCTTTTAAATTTCGTATTAACTAAATAATCTTATTTCAACGTACGACATATATATTACAATTCACATTACGTTTTGCACAAATAAACACACTAAACATGTTCTAAATATACTCTAAACATGTCTAGTAAGTGTTCAAACGAAAATTTAATAATATTGAACGTGTTGACGTTTATAATGCTAAAATTATCAGTGGAACAAGTATAACATGTAATATATATAAAGTATATATTTACGTAATTTTTACGTGTAAGTTCTGACGTATATAATTTTTTGATATGTGAATAAAGTTGGCGTATAAAGTATAGTAATGCAACTAAAACCTTGCGCTTGTGCTCTAGTAACGTAAAAGTTACGTACGTACGTGCATACGTACATTTTGACGAAATTACAAACTTAGTCGTATCGGCCAAAAAATTATGATAATAGCAGTAAAACTTTTTTTTTTTGAAAAAAATCCACTAGAGTTAGTAGTTGGTGATATGAAAACCGATATGTATACATTATTGGGCAGACGACAAAAAATAACAGGCAATTTTTTTTTGTCGTACGTATGCTCAATAATGATATTATTGGATAGTTAATATGACCATATGAAGTTTTTTCTGTGATGTTTTGTAAAACTGATTACGTAATTTCATACAAAAAATTCACATCATAATATGAAATGTCTAATAAATAAGTTTATTTGACCTTATCATATGGGTGATTTCGTGATGATTTAATGTGATTGATTAGGTTAAATAAAATTTGAGCCAATCATTGACATAATTATTGAGAAGAAGAGTGTTTTTTTGATAGGTCCGATAATGAATAGCATATGAATCGCTTATGAATTTTACTCATAAATTTGTACCTGATTGTAATCTGATGCTTATGAATTTTTGTGTATATGTACTTAATTGTAATTAGTTATGAATTTTTGTACGCTTATACCTGATTGTAAACCAATCACCTAATAATTACTGTGTTTCAACTGCATCGATTCTGACAGTCATTGTCAAATGCGTATCTAATTAAATTTAATAAAAAAATAGTGTCTTTAAGCTTAACGGTCTCTTAACAATGTAATATATATGAATCATCTTTTATTAATCAATTCACTTATTAACTAGTACATGGTTTAATAGCAAGTCAAAATAAATAATGAATAATATAAATTAATTTGAAAAGAATAATCAAATATTAATAACTGTAATACATGCTTATGAAGGGTATAAAAAAACTAAACACTAACTACAAAACAAAACATGTAATCATACATGTCTTATATATTATATATATAATAATATAAAATTTAATTAAATAATCTTATATTTAGAACATAGCAAAAAGTGGCAGATTTAAAATTCAAATCCTAGTATTAACAAAATTTTGAAATTCTTTTTATATTACAATTAAGTGTCTTTTATTATTAGTTATAATAAGATATCTGTCACTTATGTCATACTAGCATGACTAGAAAATCATATAATATTTGTACAATATACTGTTATATAAAAAAATATAAATTAATACTAGAAAATATAAACCTACAATAAGTTCTTATAGTTATAGAAATTATAAGAACTAAAAAATGAAAATTTACTTAGAAAACCCAAATAAAAAAGTAATTCAAATTTTTAATAATATTATTGTAAAAATTAAACCTAGAAAACAGAATTAAAACTTATGAAATCAAGTAATGTGTTAGTCTTTAAAAAAGATATTGTTATAACCAGTTAGACCATTAAAACTATTTGAAAAAAAAGATTACATATTAAAAAACATGTAAACTAAAGATATAGTTATATTTACCTTTTTAGATTATCTGAACTAAAAGCTTAATAAAACTTGAATATCAAAGTAATAAAGATATATTGTAAATTAAATATTGAAATTTTATAAGTATATAGTAATTTAATAGTAAACTTTAAACTATAAATATTGATTTCAACTATAATATTATAGATAGATTCTTATAACTTAGTTGCTTTACAATTTGAATTTTCTTACAACTAATAATAAGTAACCTTTTTAAAAGAAAATATTAAATTTGGTTAAGGTTTTCAGTTATTTTGAATTTATAAAGCCAAGCCAGATAAATTATATGCTTAAAAACTTAAACAAACAATAACTTATATAAAGTTTATAGGTTTAATAACAATAATAGTATTAGTATTTATTATAAACAATATAAAATATTTAAGACTTATTATTTAATAAAACAAACAGAGCACTATTTCTCTTAAGAGTCATTTTGGCTTTTATTTAAAATACTAAATTTATTATTCATAAATGTAACTTTGTATTTAATATTTTTTTAAGCAACTAAATGTTATTTATAATAATTTATATAATATTTTTAAAGATATACAATTTATTTTCATATTCTCCTCTTATTTTTTTATTAATTCTTCTACTATTTCTAATTATAAATATAACTTATTACATTTTATATATTTTTTATATAATTAATCATAATATTTCAGTATTACAATAGTATTATTAAATTAGCTATAAGAATAAGATATTAAAGATTCTAAAAGATTTAATACAAGGTCAAAAGTTTTTTATATGAATAAATTACTTAAAAACTTAATAATTATGACATATTTTTATTAGTACTACTGAGATTATTAATAAATATATATAAACAGATAAATACAAAAACTAGAGTATAAGCAAATTTCAAATATAACAATTAATATAAAACCTTTTAGTAAACAACTTAAATTAGACAATAACTAAATTTATATAAGTAGTTAATTGTATATTCTTTTTATAATTACTTTCTATAATTATAATACAACTATTTTTTTTTTGTTTTTGCTAAGGTCATAGTTATCAATAGCTATTGCTTTTATTATATTTTAATTATAGTTATATAACTTGTATAAGATGAGTTTACAACTAGCCACATATACAACTTTTGGTTATCTATTTTAAACATCCATTTGTATAATAAGTTTTACACTAGCTGACATATTTGCAATCTACTAAAAGATTACTTATTTAAACTCTCTGATTTCTATACTTACATTAACAAATAGTACACAAGTTTTTGTATACTAAAATGCTGTC